GAGCTTCAGCCATTGTGGGTAAGGGATTGTGGAACCCACACTTGAGCTTTTGCCGTCAAGCTTCGACTTTCTGATCTCCACACTGCAGCCACGCAAAAGAACAGAATCGTGCCCTGCGCAGCCACGTTAGACGCAGGTGGAGGACACTGTCCTAAACAAACGCACGCAAAAGAGCGAGAGCCACATACTGCACGTTCTCACTTAAAAGTGGGATCTAAGCATTGGGTCCTTCATGGGCACAAAGATGGGAACAATCCACATCGGGGATTTCCAAAAAGGGAAAGGGAGGGAGGAGGAGAGGGCTGGAGAACTTCCTGTTGGAAACTTTGTTCACTACTTGGGCAATGGCATCATCAGAAGCCCAAACCCCAGCATCGTGCAATATACCCAGGTAATGAACGTGCACATGTACCCCTGAATCTAAAATTAAAAGAAAGAAAAGACATAAACTCCACATCAGATTTCCCTCCTGATTAATACTACTCCCTAGCTTGGAGAGAGATGGAGGGCGTCTCTAGAGTAGGTAGTAGACCACTTACCTTCAAGATCTGTCTTATCAGGGAGGAAAGATCTGACCTGCCTAGAAACACTGAAAAGACTCTTTCTTTATATCTGATTGGGCAAAGCTGGGTCAGATGGCCACCCTAAGCTGCAGAGAAGGCTAAAAATAGACATTTTCTACTCAAGTGGGATAATGGTGACTGGGGAATGTGTACTGGAGAGCCTCCCAGCACCAAGTCAACTCTGCCTTTCTGGTTTTCACTGCTGCAATGACTTAACACCAGCACCGCTACACGCTGCCTTTGTTTTCTGTGCTCTTAAGCGGATAAAACTTCAACATTACCACACGCCACTTCTGTCTGCTTTGCATAAGGTTGTTTACCCACATACTTCTGCAATCTGGTTATGCCTTTGGTCAGACTGACCACATCTCCCAGGGTAGTGCAAAGATCCGCCGTAGTGCGAAAGTAACGTGTTTTGAGTTTTGTGTGTTGACAACTCCCACAGCTCAAAGAAAGCTTTAAAGAAGTCACAGCAGTGTACAACATCTGTTGAGTCATAGCTGTTGTTCTTACAGTAGGCATGGAGAACTCCTTCTGTTGAGGGTCAAGTACAAGTGTCGAGAAGACTGAATGTTACACAGGAAACACAGCCGAGTCATGAACGGGCTCCTTGGAGTGGGTGAGAAAGATAAATAAGGAGGAAGGAACCAGACAGAGGAAGAAAAGTCAAGGACGATATTCATTGCATTATTAGAATTCTAGGGTGTGACGAGAATTGAACGTTTCCCAATGATCTGCGTGTTCTCTTGGAAGGAAGAGCAACAGGAGACTGAAAGGTTACTCTCTTGCCCAGTTCATAGGGCCAGTCCCAGGCAAAGCTGGGGCTGGATGCCAGTGTTCCTGATTCCTAATTGTGTTTTATCCAATTGAAACATCAGTGGCCCCAGTCAAGCGCCTAACTCTTATCAGTTTCCAGTCTTCAAAGCCCGTCTCCCACTTCCTGTCTTTGACCTGATCCCACCTAATTTTGTCCATAAAGCATTGTATTCTAATAAAAACTATTTTATTTTCAAGTTCACCAAGATAATATACTTTAAAAATGTGTTACTATTTCATTGTTTCCCTTTTTTGAAGAAATAGTTACCACCTGTCAGCTGTTGACATTGTTGGTTTACTTGTTACACTTTTTCTTTACCTTGTAGCTCACTTTCTATTTCTGCCGTAATAAAATATTCATTATTGGAAACTTCATTTAAAAGCCAAGGTTACTTCTCCTCCCTTCCAAATCTGCCCTGTAAGCTAGTAGATTCATCATTCATGAGCTTATATAGTGTGCAAAATGGGGGTTTCAGTTTACAGCAAATACTTGAAATTGGTAGCTTACGCACAACTTTGTTTTTCTTTTCGTGTTACCATGTGCCATCAGTGGCATTCCGGACTCCTGGAAGGAAATCTGTTGTATGGTTGTGGTGGTCTTTTTTCTTCTCAAACCAGTCAAAAACACCCAGTCACAATTTTTAAAATTACCTGCTCTTGGTGGCACAGACCTGTGGTCGCAACTACTTGGGGGGCTGAGGTGGCAGGATCACGTGAGCCTGGCAGGTCAAGGCTGCAGGGAGCTGTGATTGTGTCGCTGCACTCCAGCCTGGGTGACAGAGAGAGACCCTGTCTCAAAACGAAACAGCATGACGTCATCTAGTCTCTAAGCGATTTTTCACATATACAGTTTCGCTATTGTATACATGAGATTTATATATATAAAATTTCATATATCAGTTCAGTACTGTTAACTATTGGAATTGTGTGTATGGTAGATCTCCGTGGTTTATTTATCTCGCTCAACTAAAACTTCGTATCCTTCGACCAATATACTTCCCCTCCCGCCTCAAGCCCTATGCTCTGATAACTGTCTCTCTACTCTCTGGTTCTATGAGTTTGAGTATTTTAGATTCTGGATTAGTCCATTCTCATGCTGCTAAGAAAGACATACCCAAGACTGGGTAATTTATAAAGGAGAGAGGTTTGATGGACTCACAGTTGCACATGGCTGGGGAGGTCTCACAGTCATGGCGGAAGATGAAGGAAGAGCAGAGAGACATCTTACATGGCGGCAGACAAGAGAGAGCACATGCAGGGGAACTCCCACTTATAAAAACATCAGATCTCGTGAGACTTGCTATCACGAGAAGAGCACAGGAAAAACCCACCCCCATCATTCAGTTACTTCTCACCTTGTCGCTCCCACGACACGTGGGGATTATGGGAGCCCCAATTCAAGATGAGACTTGGATGGGGACATAGTCAAATTATGTCAGTTTCCTTGTATAAGTGAGGTCACGTGATATTTAATATTTGTTTTCCTGTGCCTGGCTTATTTCAGTGAACATAATGACCTCCAATTCCATCCATGTTGCTGCAAATGACAGTTTCCTTCTTTTTTAAGGCTGCATAGTATTCCGTCACGTACATGTCCCATGTTTCCTTTATCCATTTGCCCTTAGATGGACACTTCGGTTGTTTGCACATCTTGGCTGTTGTGAATAGAGCTGCATAAACATGGGAGCTCAGGTGTCTCCACAAGATCCTGGTTCTCTTGGGTCTTGCAAGCTAGCATATGCAGGCACAGAACTGTCAGCAAGTGAACAGAGAGGTAAATGGATCAATATTGATTAGTGGAGCTTTGCTCATCAACAGATGCTGGTTCCTGGATACACTTCCAACCCATCCTCTCTCTGAATGTCAGTTTCTCAGGAGCTTCATCTGCTGTCTGGGATGGATGCGATCACATAACACAGGAGGGCAGTTTTTGTTTTAGTGGCTCATCTCAGTCTGAAGCTGTGAATGGATTGTTTAAAATACGGCTGAGTCATGACCTGCGTGCCAGTAAGGGCCTGCTGACGCTGGGATCGAGGTAGATGAAAGGCAATTTAGAGAGGCTCTAGAAATCCTGCCACAGTCGCAGTAGCTCATGCCTGTAGGTCCAGCACTTTGGGAGGCCACGGCAGGAGAATGGCTTGAGCTTGGAGTTCAAGGCTAGCCTGAGCAACATAGTGAAACCCTCTCTACAAAAGTGCAAAAATTAACCAGGGAGCTGAGGTGGGAGGATGGCTTGAGCCCAGGAGGTCAAGGCTACAGCGAGCTGTGATGGCGCCACTGCACTCCAGCCTGGATGACAGAGCAAATTCATTCTCTCCCTTAACCCAAGAACATTTATGCTACGTGAAGAATATTTCAATACGCATGTGAACACATGCACACCTTATAGGATCAGTGTGTTACTGGAAGAGGAGGAGGATGAAGAGGAAGAAGAGGATGAGGAGGAGGAGAAAGAAGGAAGAGGAGCAGGCAAAGCGTGTTTAGATTGAAAACGTGCCCCAAGATACAGTAGTTTTTTGGGTTTTTTTTGTTTTTTTTTTTGGAGACAGAGTCTCACTCTGTCATCCAGGCTGGAGTGCAGTGGCGCGATCTCGGCTTGCTGCCATCTCTGCCTCTGTGGTTCCAGCTATTCTTCTGCCTGCTCAGCCTCCCGGGCAGCTGGGACTATAGGCACGCGCCTCCACCATGCCTGGCTTTCTGTATTTTTCGTAGAGATGGGTTGTCACCATGTTGGCCTTGCTGGTCTCAGTCTCTGTCTCAGTCTCCCGACCTCATGATCCACCCACCTCGGCCTCCCAAAGTGCTGGGATGACAGGTGGGAGCCTTTTATATCTTATTGACTATTAGATTTCTTCATTTAGATGCACCCCAGTGGGAGGAAGAGGAGGGGTTGGAGGAAGAGGAAGTGGAAAAGAAAATGGAGGAGAAGGAGGGGAAGATGGAGGAAGAGAAAAACAGAGAAGGACGAGATGGGGGAGGGGAAGAAGAGCGTGTTGGGACTGGAAATGTCCCAGCCGCGCACAGGGAGGCGCTGGTGTTCTTTTGTTTGTAGTGGTTGCAGTTGTTGTTGTTGTTTGTGGGCACCTATTGCACTTCGTCTGAATCCATGGCAGGTTTTCGAATACAGACTCCGTGCTTTGAGCAGGCATTAGTGTGCGTTAAGGAAAGAGCCATGTGTGTGTTTTACACTCTGTCTGGATTTCTGATAAAGCCAGAGGGCCTGCAGAGGAAAAGCCACGTTGCATAAACCCATCTACTATGACTCTAGTGCTTCTCCTTGTGGGAGTGTGGTGCGCGTGGGTGTGGTCTCTGCAAAGACTTTACCTGCAGAAATTATGGCCAGTTTGTCCTCAGATTGAAGAACCATTCAGAGGCAGATAGTGCTCTCTCTCTGTCTGTCTCTCTCTCTCTCTCTCTCTCTCTCTCTCTCTCTGTCTCTCTCTCTACCCTCCCCCTCCCCCACCCCCCTGCAATTTCTGTATTCAGTGGAAAATTCCAGGAAATGCCTCAGCCCAGGTGCGCCGTGACACCAAGTCTCTGAAAGGCGTGGGCCGTGTGGCTGCGGCGCCTCCTCCCTTTGTCAGGGGACTTAATGGGCTCCGATGATTTTTCTCTCTCCAGGCACCGGGACGTTCGGGCGGGTGCACCTGGTGAAGGAGAAGACCGCCAAGCATTTCTTCGCCCTCAAGGTGATGAGCATTCCCGACGTCATCCGCCTGAAGCAGGAGCAGCACGTGCACAATGAGAAGTCCGTCCTGAAGGAAGTCAGCCACCCGTTCCTCATCAGGCTGTGAGTCCCCTGCTCGGGCCTCTCCCCGCTCACCCTCCCTAGGCCCCTCGGTGTCTCTTCTTGTAGGAAACAGGGTGGTGGGCCGGGACCGTTGGTTTTTCAGGGACCACAGTCACATGGATGGGGCTGGGCTTCAGGAACTCCCGTCAGTTCATGGGTTTCTGGTTGACTGTAGATGAGACATCTCCATTGAGACGCAGCCCACGCACTTCCAGCTCATGGTGTGTCCTAGGGTAGGTGTGCTAGTCTGTTTGGGCTGCTATAACAAAGGATCTTAGACTTGGTAATTTACAAATGCCAGACGTTTGTCTCACGGTTCTGGAGGCTGAAAGTCCAAGATCAAGATGTGGCGGATTCAGTGTCTGCCGAGGACCCGCTTCCCGGTTCACAGACGGCGCCTTCTCGCTGTGTCCTCCCACGGTGGAAGAGGCGAGGGAGCTCTCTGGGGTCCCTTTTATAAGGGTACTGATTCCATTCATGACACCCCACCTTCTTGGCTTCATTACCTCCCAGAGGACCCACCACCTAACACCATCACCTCGGGGGTGAGGATCCAACATAGGGATTCAGGAGGACACAGCTACTCAGCCCGTGCCAGCAGGGTGATTCCGTTTCCACCCAGGCGTCTCAGACGAGGACGTCTGCGTGCCTCGGGGCTGCCTTCCATCCACTTCCCACGTCTGCCCTTCGCCGTCTTGCTACCGCTTCTCCCCCGTCCGCCTGTCCATCTTCTGCCTTATCCGGGTCCCGTCTCTCTGCCCTGCTTTTCTGCACTGGCCTCCCTCCTACCTGCTGTTTCCCTCCCAGCCTTGCTCTCCTTGAAGACATCCCTCACTTGACGGCCGCCTTGGTACCTCTGCAATGACCTGCCTCTCTGCATTCATCCTCCGTGAGCTCCTGAAGCACCCCACATAAAGCCCCAGCAATGCAGCGTCCTCTGCCGCTGGCCTCCGGCCACCACCTCCCTGCAAGAGAAGGTGGAAGGCGCTGTCGACACACTGTCCCCAGGGCTTCTCCTAGGCCACCCCTCTTTCACAGGCCTTCTTCTTCGCTCTCATCGTTGTCCTTCACTTCGCCCACCTAAGAAACTACCCACCTGTTTCCCTCATTCACCTGCTGCCCTTGGGACACGGGGTGCCCCCCATCATCTTCTTGAAGCAACGCGTGTGTACCCGAGCAAGCGCACCTGTCTGCCTTCTCCTTTTGACCCAGCGCTGCCTGAGCTCTGAACAAAATCACATGCAGAGTCTGGGCGCAGGGGCTCACGCCTGTCAGCCAGCACTTTGGGAGGCCGAGGCAGGTGGATCACCTGAGGTCAGGAGTTGGAGACCATCCTGGCCAACATGGTGAAACCCCATCTCTACTAAAAGTACAGACATTAGCTGGCTGTGGTGGTGCACACCTGTAGTCCCAGCTACTCAGGAGGCTGGGGCAGGAGAATCGCATGATCCTGGGAGGTGGAGGTTGTGGTGAGCTGAGATCATGCCACTGCACCCCAGCCTGAGCGACAAGAGTGAGACTCCGTCTCAAAAAAAGCGAAAGAGTTCTGCTGAAGGCTGGGCTTGCAAGTGGGACCCTTCCCTTTCTCGTTTGCTAAGTTGCGTCTTTTTGTGGCTTGCAGGTATCCTAAGCATGATACTGTGGGGTGTGCCTGAAATCTTGGGGGAGGGGCTCCAGTTCTGGGGATTCCTCCCTGTTGAAGGTCGAATTCTGTCTCCTGAAAAGATATGTTGAAATCCTCACCTCGGCTCCTGTGAATGGAATTGGAATGCTATTTGGAAACAGGGTTTTTGCAGATACAGTTAAAATGCCAGGGGTCATCGCAGCTCATGCCGGTAACGGTGGCACTTTGGGAGGCAGAGGTGGAAGGATCACTTGAGCCTGGAGTTTGAGACCAGCCTCGGCAACATACCAAGACTTAGTTTCTACAACAAATTACACAATTAGCCAGGTGTGGTGGCGCACACCAGTGGTCTCAGCTACTAGGAAGGTCGAGGCGAGAGGATTGCTTCAGGCCAGGAGGTCAAGGCTGCGCTGCGCTGTCGGCACTGCTGCCCTCGAGACCCAGTTTGTAAAAACAAATGAAATAATCAAATAAATACAATAAAAATGAAATGCAAGTAGGATGGAGTCATGCTGCTGTACACTGTGCTTTTTTTTTTTTTTTTTTTTTTTTCTGAGACAGAGTCTCGCACTGTTGCCTGGGCTGGGGTGCAGTGGTACAATCTCGGCTTACTGCAACCTCTGCCTCCCGGGTTCAAGTGATTCTCCTGCCTCAGCCTCCCAAGTACCTCGGATTGCAGGCACCTGCCACCACGCCCAGCTAATTTTTGTATTTTTAGTAGAGACGGGGTTTCGCTATGTTGGCCATGCCGGTCTCCTGACCTAGTGTCTGCCCGCCTCAGCCTCCCAATACGGTGTGCTTTTAACTTTGTATGACTGGTGTCTACGAGCAAAGGAAGGAGACGCAGATACAGAGACAGCAGAGCACCGTGAGGAGGACACATCGTGAGGATGGAGGCAGAGGTTGGAGGAATGGTGCATCTCTAAGCCAGGGGACCCCAAGGGTTGCCAGTTACTCCCAGAACCTGGGAGAGAGTCCAGGGCAGATTCTCCATCAGAACCTGCAGAAGAACAAATCCCGGCAACACCGTCAGGCTGAACAGTGCTGGGACTGCAGGAGTCAGCCAGTACACCTGGACTGAGAATACGCGTCTCTTGCCTCTTCCCCCCATCCCGGTTTGTGGTACTTTGTTATGAGAGCCCTGGGGACTCATACACAGCCCCCGCATGTCCTGGAGCACGACAGCAGCCTAGATGATGGGCTCTCGAGTACTTTACACTTCCGAAATTGAAAATCCCACGGAAGAACTGTACGGCCATGGGAGTGAGTGGAGGGTGCGAGTCCGAGAATTACCCACAACTGAATTCTTGAGCTCCGGCACGTTGAAAAATAGGGAGGAGCTTGCAAAAAAGAGCTTTAGTTAGAAAGTTCTCCCTTCAAGCTGGGATAGTTCAACACCTGTTTTCCATAGCAGATAAGGTGGATTCCTGCGGGGAATGGATTCTGATTTTCGTGTTCCCTGCTTTCAATTAAGGAACAAAGTCACTGATATTTCTTAAGTCTCCTATAAAGTCCAAGACTAGAAATTCTATCCAAAGTTATCTATGCTGGTTTATTTTTATCTTTTATATATAAAAAACATATATGTGTATATATATTTAGATTTAGAGACAGGGTTTCGCTCTGTGGCCCAGGCTGGAGTGCAGTGGCAAAATCTTGTCTCAGTGCAGCCCCAACCTCCTGGGCTCAAGCAATCCTCCTGCCTCAGCCTCCAGAGTAGCTGGGATTACAGGCATGTGCCACCATGCCTGGCTAATTTTGTATTTTTAGTAGAGACAGGGTTTCTCCGTGCTGGTCAGGCTGGTCTCGAACTCCCGATCTTAGGTGATCTGCCCTCCTCGGCCTCCCAAAGTGCTGGGATGACAGGCGTGAGCCACTGTGCCCGGCCCTTATGGCATTTTTATGCTGCGAATGTTCAATAAGAACATTGTCGACGGCTGTTGTTCTAAAGGACCTAGAGTTGATTCTCTTTTGAAATGATTGATTTCTTGTGTTAAATGTTAAGAGTATATTTTTGTGAACTTGCTAGGTAAGGGTTGAGAGAGCGCTACACAGCCAGGGTTTTTGTGAGTGGCTGGAGGAGGGAACTCCTTTATAGAGATTTCGCTTTGAATCAACCGTTCCTGTGTGCTGATGATTCCACAGATAACAGGTACAATAAAAGTTGTGCTTTCCTTGTAGTGGGAAACTCACCACAAGGTGACAGGTTCATAGATTTTTATATTGACCAACCATAGTTCACTCTTATCTGCAGTTTCAGTTACCTGCGGTCAGGGCTTGTCTGAAAATTCTAAATGGAAAATTCCAGAAGTAAGTAGTACGTACGTTTTCAGTCGCATGCCCTTCTGAGTAGCCTGATGAAATCTCACACCGTCCTGCCCTGTCCTGCTCGGGACGTGATTCATCTCTTCGTCCCGGGTCTCCACGCTGTATACCTGCCCACCTGTTAGTCACTTTGCAGTCGGAGATCAGATTTTATGAAAACAGTTCATACAGGACTGGGGCTGTCTGTGGCTTCAGGGAGCCCCTGGGGGTCTTGGATCGCATGCCCCTTGAGTGATGGGCACGGCTCTAAAACCCTAAAAGCACTTGGCTTTGCCTCTCACTGGTTGGTGGGGCTTTCTCTGAACATGGATGAGATGAGACCGCAGTCGCTGGTCACTGTTTGCCGGGTGGGAGGTTTTGTTTTGTTTTTGGTTTATTTGAGACAGAGTCTCCCTCTGTCTCCCAGGCTAGAGTGCGGTGGCGCCATCTCAACTTGCTGCAACTTCCACCGCCCCGGTTCAAGTGATTCTCCTGCCTCAGCCTTCTGAGCAGCTGGGATTGCAGGTGTTCACCACCATGCACAGCGAATTTTTGTATTTTTAGTAGAGATGGGGTTTCACCATGTTGGCCAGGCTGGTATCAAACTCCTGACTGAGTGATTCATCCGCCTCAGCCTCCCACAGTGCTGGGATGACAGTCGTGAGCCACCGCACCCAGTTCTCAGGTGGTGGTTTTTTGAATTGCTCTTTTTTGCCGGTTACAGATACATTTTGCCGCCTGCCATGAGGGCAAATCCGTGTTCAGTTTAAAATCGTCATCCTCCTGGGGAGAGCGTGTGCCTTAGCATGGCTGAGGCCAGGCTCCCGGCCCCTCGGGATGGGGCTTCCCGCTGTGCGGCGTTCTGGGTAGCCCCGTTGCGATGCTGACTTGACTTGCACGAAGGCAGCACAGAATGGATGGATTGGCTAAAGGTGCCCGCCTGCCGCCGCCACTTACTGGCGGTCTCAGGTGTAGGACGTTTTCTTGATGAGGGTGTTAAGCGAGCATTTTCAGCAGAGGTGCCTGACATTTCCAGCTGGATGAGTCTCTGGGGTGGGGCCGTCCTGTGCAC